GATATGTCGTTTTAATTGTAACTTAAAAACCCCAAATGACAATAGAACCAAACTCTAAGTCAGGCGTCAAAGTGTGTTCGCAAATTACAAATAACCGACCCAAATACCGTTCTGATAAAAATTATATTAATTACAAAACAAACCTCCAGGTATTTCGGTTTCGGGAGCAAACCCCTCCAAATACGAAACCAAAGAAAATGCGATTCAAAATGTCGTTTTCATTCTTGACCACAAATTGGTTGTCGCTCCAACTCGAATATTAAACACATGAGTATTACTAAGATTATTCTGGTATATAAAAATTTATCCCGTGTTCACATAACCAATGTCCCCTATAAAAAACAACCTAAATGAGTAACTTGTTAGGCTGCAACCTGCAGCATTTGTAACATTATAATCCAGCCTTTAAGCTGGCATGCCCCATGTAACATATCGTTATCTGTGAATGTATTATCATTGACAAATCAGCCTACTAACGAAGTACGCAGCAGTATGTGTGCCTGAGAATTAGCCGTACCATTAAGTATTTAATTCAATGTCATTTGGATTCATACTATTTTTTATTGCTGAGATTGCTTACTTAAAATGTGTCAGACAACTCTAAAAAGGGAAATAATCCAGACAAGTTTCATTACTATACAGGATGACCTTCCACTGAGCCGGCATCCAACGGTGTTAATGTCTAACTTCAACCAGTGCCGTCTCAGAGGCAGAGAGACGTATGCACAGACAGTTCTTGCAGTATACTAGCTCTTTGGCTCAAAGCATATCTTTTCTCACCACTGTCCTGTGTTTAAAAAGGATTCAGCTCTCACTTACGGGTTTTATGGTTGAAATTATTGCGACTACAATGTTTCCTAGTTCGCAGAACTGGTAGTCTAGACCAAAAAATTGTGGTAAGAGACAAAATATGTGACCAACCATTCATATGGATGGTGGAAACAAAGCCTATCTTGACCAGTCAGTTCAAAAATCCGCCGTATACTTCGTTATCAAGCCATAAGTACTAACTATATAGCCAACAAAGTCAAGTTCGAAACCAATATCTAATGTCTTTGTTGCAAGCTTTTGGAAAGTATTTGAGTTGACAGGCCCTGAACAGGGAACGGGTTTAGTTAAGCAAATTTTCGCTGGAAAAAAGCCTAAAGATTCCAAAGATCAGGGAAGCTGTGATTTTTAAGTTTTTAATAGTGAAGTATTATCCGTTTTAGTAAAGGTCTAGCTGCCTGTATGCAGTAATTCGTTTGGATAATTGTCAAAAGAGGATGTCAGTTCGAATAGGGAGTTTAGGTATTTCATATGTATAAAAATGTTACGTATCAACCTGATGAAAGGTAAGTGCCAGCAATTTGATTTATGAATTTACAGGTACAATTCTTTGTTTTAATAAGTCATTTTGACTTACAAACACTAACCAACTAGGCGGGTTCTGTGCGTTTCGGAGGTGTGCGCACGTTTGAATTTGTGGTAATTATGTAGTTGCTTAACACAGTCACTGAATATTTGATTCTTGCTTCCAGTTGTACAAAATCTGCGTAAAGGAGCTTGTTACCATGAGCTTTTTCTTTCGATATTTTAGAAACTAATTGTTCGCGGCATTCTACAAGCTTTGTAATGTCTAAAGTTGCTTTTCATATCATAGGTTTATATTGTTCGTATAGAATATTCATCGCCATTAAGATGGCTTTTAATAATTGCAAAGCATCCATGGTCATAATTTGTGAATGAAGTATGAAAGTCAATTGACATTTAGTTCTTTCTGAGTTTTTCATGTTGTTTACTTTTTGCATTGTATAACCTCCCGATTATACATGTGCGACATTTTACGTGAAAAGATGCGTAGCGGAAAATTGGAAAGATTCGTATTTTTTTCGGTGCATTTTTCATCTGTCCCATTTTTCGTATGTGTAACATCGACAATCGATGTGCGAATAATCTGTTAGGTATCTCACGAAAGTTAAAGTAGATTCTTTTATTGATAAGATCTTTGGAAGATTGATCTGTGCTGTAGTTCGATGCCTACAGACAATCTTCAAACTACTTGTTGATTGCTATCCTTCGGCCTTGTCAAGTTTGCTGGACGGATATTCATTCATTCAAGTTTTTGACTAATTGATCAAAATACATGTGCACGGCTAAATCATATTTGCAATAACATGGATTACCATTCTTTTTTGGTCCTCACTATATAGTTAATAACTCGTTATAAAACTAGAAGCGGCATGATTGCATGTCGTATTTTGTTTCGTAGTCTTCCTCGGTTAAATTCTACCAAGTAGGTAGTCGTTTATCTATAGAATTTGGCTGCCTCAATATGATTTCTGTGTGTCTGCATAACCTTCCAACTAGAAACAACTATTAAGTGCTGTCAAGAGCAAGAAGCTACTGTTTTCCGCAGAAAAGCCCATATAAAAAATAATCTTCCGCCACAAGATTGGTCATAAGGTTTATTATTTATTTATTTGAACACATACATATTGGTACAAGAATGGGCCAAATATATATGCGCCACACAAAACAATGAGAATTTAAAGAGAAGGAAAAGGAAAAAAGTAGGGAGGGTGAAAAAAAGAACAATAGGGAAGAGATTGGTGTAAGGTAGTGTAATAATAATAGTGGTAATAATGGGGGAACAGAAAGGTACAGTCAGAAGAAACTCTTCAGTTAAGAAAGATACAACCATTTTTTTAATGAAGAAAGCAAAAGAAGGTTACAGCAGGATCACCACTGGCTTCTATACTGAGCCATATCTGATAACGTCTCTAGCCACTGTGTTGCGCTATCTCTCGGACCCCAGCCAGTGAGTCGTGAAGGACCAACACAAGCCATGATCAACGATAAACGATCTACGGTCATAAAGTGGATATGTCTAACTATCATCTGTCCCTTTTAGTACAAATCTTTTAGCTAATTGTAGTGAAATACAAAAGTACTTAGTTTTATGTACTCCTGTCCTTAGAAATTCACTGTTGATCGCATGGACAGGAGAATTTAAGTAGGGGTATGTCTGAATAATCTTCATTTCGTGAAGTTTCCATCGTAATGTTGGTAAATTTGTGAAATATCACCAAGTATGTTTCAGATCTCACGTGTTAGTTGTCTTGAAAATGGATCTGAGATGGATTTGAAAGTCCGCTTGCATCATGAAAGATTCTGGAGGTATGCTTATGATTGGTCCTGTCATTGATGAGATCTTTTATTAGTTTTCTTAAAATTAGATTGCTGTTTGTGAGAGGTCGTCTGGAAGTTTTGCTTTGTTTATTCGTTTGTATGATGCACAAAATCTGTTTGTACTAACTTGGTGTCGAACCTGAAGTACATGAAGTGGGATTCAATCAACTGTATTATCAGATTTCCACTCATTTTTTAAAATCATTGTTATAAGAACTTGGAAATCTTGCGGTTGATTTAACTGTTACCAATCTGTGGAACTAATCTAAATAGTATGAGAAAGTAAAGATCACTCACGAAAAGTAAATTGTCAACACAAAATCCCTAGTATGCGGATATCAAGTGCCCAAAAAACTGGCTGTTTTTATATAGCGGAATATCACATTTATCTAGAGAATGTCGTACGTATAAGTTTAACTAAACACCACTTGAAACAATTGTATGGCATGGATTTTCTATGTTATAAGAGTCTGATCGACGCCGACTTTTATCTAAATTTCCTCTGTTTGGTTTTTCCTTTCCGTTAATTGTACAATTTTTTCCCACATTCTTCCTGTGCCTTGAAATTATTTGGTAATTTGAAACAATAAATTGCGTTTCTTAATATGTCTCCTTACAGATCAAATAACTAATTTTATGAGTCTAACATTCTTAAAAGTTGGTTAATCCAATACTTGTTGATTGAACACTTGTTCATATTATTCGAGTCTCTTAAGTTATAGATGTTACACGTTTATGCTAAGCTAGAAATAGTTGAACATGTGGTTTTTTTCCAGAGAATTCATTAATCAGTTTGGTTCATATTCGATCGAAATGTAATGCTGAATTTTAGGGACCAAGTTCAAGACAAAATTTGGGTGTGTATTAACACTTTACATTTCGTAATCATATCTTACTTTTTGATGTTTCTGTTGTAAATAATATTACTGTGTTATCCTGGTCTAGGTACTGTAAATAAGTTCCTTAATTTGGATTGACACTATGTGATTTAGGCGTCTGTGAAGTCGCAGGTTCGAACTCTGCTCCATCTACTTCGATTTGGGCAGCTGGGTGGTATCACTAGCTCTCTTACTTGAGGAGGCAAATATGTATGGAGTAGAGTCTGTGATAGTGATAATAAATTAAATCGTGATTGTGAATAATACAATGGTAATAAATTGTTTCAGTGTCTGTATTTTTTTAGTGTAAAGTATTGCTGTCCCACTATTGACCAATTAATATGCACTAAACTGTTGCATTTCGGTTGCTTTCGTTTCAGCCAGTCTTATGTGTTCGAGATGATGAATGCTCCAAAAATCATGTATCATTGACAGGTTTCGATGCAGATTGTTATTTAATATATCAAGTTTACATTCTTTAAATATTCACTGTTCGTCACCATCAAGCTTATAACTTTTACAATCAATTGAATAATTTGCCGTTTAATATTATGGTTTTTTGGCTGACCACACCATGAAATCTTGTTAAGGAAACAATTCATGTTGAAGTTCGTCCTTGGAAGGCAAATATCATTGATCCCGTATGTGTAGCTTTTTTTGTATGCTTTTGGTTTATTTCCTTTCATGACTAATTACTGTTTTAAAATTAAATAGTTTACTTAGGACGACTTGATGTGTATAATGAATTCGCTATTCTAACCACTGTAGCTGGGTACGAAGAAAGTTTCATATTTACATCAATTTTTGCATATTCATCAGTAACGTAATCAGCTCTACTAAACACTGTTATTGACCATATGTATTTTTCTGTTATAACCAAATAATATATAAGTTGGTTGTACTAATCACCAGAAATTTGTGTTCCATGTTTTCTTACGGCAGGAGACGGTCATGGTGATTGAGCGGCTAATGAAGAAAATGGTCGTTAATCCTGTACCTAAAAAAGCTTTTAAACCTACCACAGCATTATCTATACCCAGGCATCCTATGCTCACATTTGGTGTATCACTTGGAGATGTTATAGAACGCGACAAGACTGAAATTCCGATCGTTATTTCTGATATATTTAACTTCTTATTAAATAAAGGTGGTTTACAATCTGAAGGCATCTTTCGTGTAAATGGTAATTCACGAACAGTTGAGATATTGCGTGCCATTGTCGATGAAAACGGAAGTTATTGGCATTTAGGGGAATTTTCAAGTATAGCTGGAGATTTGGATCGTTCAGTTGACGTTTTCTCGGTTGCTAGTCTTCTTAAGTTGTATCTAAGGGAATTGCCAGAAGGATTAATTCCAGAAAATATCACTGCATTATTTTTGAAAGTAAGTAAATATTATGTGCAGTAACCATGTTTCTTTTTGTATACTAATTATATAAAAATGTGAGCTTTCTTGTTTTACTTATAACTTGGAATATTCTAACCTTATAATTCAATTACAGTTCAAGTCAGGAAGCTGCGATTATTCATAGCCTAAAAAATTGGTGTGTTATACAAGGAATCCTTTATCTTAACTTGTAGTTATGACTGCCGAAAATGTATGCATTATGTCTTAAGTAGAAACTTCATAAAGCAGTTTTAATTAGTTTGTAACTTTGTCATAATCTGGAGTAAACGTACAACTGCTGGTCTATGTACTTATCGCAGGTGCATGTTTTCGTCGTAAAAGAAATGTACTGGAGTGGTTAAGTTTAAGTTAATTTTAATTATCCTCTCAAAATGATGGTTATTGTACTCTGATCCACGTTTCACAGATATTAAGTGTAAAATAATATAATTGAAGTTTTTGTCCAGGATAAACGAATTATTCGGTCAGTTAGTTAAGTCAGATCGAATTGGTTGGAATATGCATTATATTTCTGTGGAGCTTCAACTTATTAGTTTTATTTCACAAATTTGACTCAATCTATTACTGGTGGAGACTTGTCTTTTTCCACCGATATTTCGACAATTATACTAGCAGTTGTGAAATAGATGTAGCCTGCAGTCCAATGTACGCAGGTGAATTTTAGTTTTTTTCTTTAGGTCTTGAGTTTTGAAGTTACCTCATACATTTTATTGCGCGAACTCATTCTTCTCAAATCATATTGTCTATCACTAATTTTTTCTACTACCAGTAGTACCATTACTACTTTACTCTGAAATATTTTTAATTTCATCTTTCTTTGCTGTGGTGTGGTAACTTGAACCGATATGCGTATGTGCCATGTTGTGCATTGAGTATGATTTCGTGATAAATCTGTTCGCCACTACTGAATTTGATTATGAGCTGATTTATTGTTTCAGTGAACAGTTTGGTTTTTTCTCCAAAAATAATATTGCTTACAGAGTTTTCTTTTGCTTTCATCGTCTTTATACATAATTGGTTTCATGTGTTGTCTAACAACGTTAATTATACCCATACCAAACATCAGTTTAACGATATAATTATTTGTTTTTCATCATCGATGTTCTGGTTTCGTAGAAATTTTAGATTTTTATTGTTTGTTTTGTTTGTTTATAATGCATTACATTTTTTATAAACCGAAAAGAGATTATTATTTAATTTATGCATTATTATCATTGAACTCGTTTACTTGGGTACAGATTAGTGCACTTGGCTTTGAACTACGTTATAAGTGTAAGCTGGCGATACTAACCACTTCTCTAAACCAAACTGGAGACGGATTCGAATCCGCTGCTTGATTCGTAACAGTGGAATGTTTTAGCCACTGAACCACGACTTCACCCACTGTGTCGTAGCTCAAGTTAATTTTGTTCCCTTAGAGTGAATAATGAAATACCTGATGTATTCAATTACATACATCACACTACGTAATGGTATAGAAAAGAAAAGAAGTCAACTGAAAGTTAAAAGAATCAAGATATGTGTTTCTAAAATTTCCAAATATTTTTGTTTTAGCGTCAATAGTAATAATAATAATAATTTAACTGACTAATTGATTACTGACAAATGTATTCATTTTTGAATCACCTTTTGTATTTTTAAGGTTGGTAAAATACTAATACCTGGTTAACTAAATCAAAGTAGTGTCAAACCAATAGATGTTTAAACCATTCTTTAAACACATTTGATTGCGCAATAGTATGATACTGATGACGTTAACCGTAAAAATGACTCTGTGCAAAGGCTAATTTTGATTTTGTTCATTATTATTCTTATTAATCTATTCTAATTTGCCTCGCTTTTAATCCACACGTTAGGGTTATTATAATTACTAATATTATCGAAATGCTCTCACATGGCCACGCGTATATAGCCTCTGCCAGGGAAGTCCTACTCACTGCCTTCTCGTGGCGGGGGTGTTGTTTACGAAGATGAGAGGACGAAAAGCGAATGTCCAGCGCTTTAACCGGATTCCATACCAATGGTGCACATAGGCTCCAGTATCCTGCGGTAAGAAATAGCGTATGAACCAATTGTTGGTCACCGGCTTCCATGGGACTGCATCTCCTTACGATGCATCACTGCCTTGTGGATCAGACCTTCAGGTCGAAGGCTTGGGGTCTAGCCCCCTAAGAAAACCACCTGCTTCGGTTTGGGCACCCGGTCAGTATCACAGCTCTCACACATATCGAATGAGATTTGTGTGGCGCATGTGTATTTGGTGCCTCCTTGTACCAATATCTATGTATTGAAATAAATAATACATATACTTATACACCGACTACCTCTACGATGATAGCTGGTATAGTATTAGGTTGGAAAAAAGCTAAGGAGGGTCAAGTTAATACATAGTATCAGTTCGTGAAGGCTGAACCGTATAGGTGGGTGCAGACTATTTGGTTGTCATGTCAAAATGTTTTCTTTCAACAAAGCAATGTTGTTTACATACTCTAAAATCGGTTATTTTAGTTTTTCTATTAACGTCACTCAATTTTACAAGTAATTGAATGCTTAGATGCATTTTAAATCATCAACTGCAAATGGCATATCAGCTAATGTAACTGTTGCATAACTAAATAAATAATATATTTGTAATACCCCAATGAGTAGAATATTAGATTTTCTGGCGTTTCGTAACTTAGTGTAAGTCACTTCTTCAGAGAATAAATAACCAAATTAAAATTAATCCAAGTTTAAATAGTACAACGAAACAATAAGAATAATGTTGTTCCGTTGTACTATTTAAACTTGGATTAATTTTAATTTGGTTATTTATTCTCTGAAGAAGTGAGTTACACTAAGTTACGAAACGCCAGAAAATCTAATTTTTGTACTCATTAGGATATTCCAAATACATTATTTATTTATAACAATCTACCCAATGCTCAATTTATTCGAAGTTATCAAATCAAACCTTGGTAATGTTACATAACTGTTCAATATCTCTTTGAAATATATCAGTATAACTAACTTAGCACATGATCATGTTTTTTTGTCTATACATTTTTCATCTACTACAATCTATTGTTATATAGATTTCGCCTGAGAAAAATGTCATAATTTTAGTTATGTGCTAAGTCTTTGTGTCAGTTTGTGTTCTCTAGTTTAAAGTGTGATAGCCTAACGGTTAAGTATATATAATTTCGAATTGTTGATTTATGGCTCCGAATTCGGATCTAATAAGTTTAATTTAAAGTCTGACAGTCTGGCTAGATCTCACATACATGTGTAGCTCAAAGGTACTTGTACGCGAGTACGGAATAGGATAATAATACATATTACCTTGCTATTGTAATCTATTTGTTTGACAGACGTTTTAAAGCGAAGAATTTAGTTACAGACTGTAAAATATTTTTATCTATCACTGTGGAGTAGGTGTATACACTCTTTGTCTTCCCCTATACCGTGAGATTAAAATTACCTTATGCCTACCTTTCTATCAACTAATTCTTTTTTCCTGTATTGTATCCTTTTATGCAATCTTTCTTTTATGTATTACTACCATTGAAGTGACTACTTCTGTACGTTTTTTGTGCTAATGAAGTGCGGCAGCTTGGACCGATGCATATATGTGCCTGGTTCTACGTTGTAGCTGAATGACTGAGTGATTACTTCACTCTATTTTAAATTTTAGAGTACTTATTAGCAATTGTGTACAAAACTTTATTGAGAAAAACACTAATTATATAAAGTCTTGTCTAAAGAATCTAGAAACACCTAGATAGAATTACCATTGTGATCAGTAATCGTAGATTGTTAATTTCCCCATTTTTTTACACATATCAACGTACAGTAGAATCAGGTTATGTGAAATTTTTCTTTGAAGTGGAGGTCTTCTTTCCAAAAGTGACTATCAATTCCTAAATGAATAATAAAAATATAACAAATTATGCATTTTGGCTGTTTTTCAAGACTCCCTGAATTCTCATGTTCACTTTATTGAGTGATAGTACTCTTTCAAATATTGGTTTCAAAGAAATACACAAAGTGAAATTAGCAGTATGTATCAGAAATCTAGATTCAGTTCTTCTTGTATAAAAAAGTGTTAGTCAACAAGAACAGTTTGTTAAAATTTATTAATAAAGGTAAATTTTTATTATCAAACTGTGATAACTTTGCGAAATTGAGAGAAAACAACCATGACCAATAATTTTAGAAAATAGTGCAAAAAATCTCACTAAAGAAAATTCAAAAATATCACAAAAGTACGGTTTTCTGTATTCAACCGGCTTACATGATAAGCTACTGCTGAGTTACTCTAGTTTGTTTTTACCTAAGTTATATACAACATGGTGCAACAGTAAGTATTGAACAGAATAATAATCTTCATATAAACACTTGTCAAATACAAAACACATCGTCCTTGACCTCAAGCTGTTATTTTCGTTTGAGGGTTTGTGATAGTATTTGATGCCCGGTGCATGTATGTGCCTCGTCTTACGTTGTAACTGACTGAACTGGATGACTTGGATTGCGAACCTTCAATATGTTAACTAACTACAGGCTAAGGGGTTTAATCTATATACCAAAATTCCTGAAGAACATTGTAAAATTTCGGCGTTATGTAAATGAAAAAATGTCAGTGTTCTCAGTACACGTTTATAGTTAAGTAAGTGCTAGCTTACAGCTTATATCGCAAGTGTAAACACTGAAACGAATCAGTTGGTTATTTTCACCGATATATGTTTTTATTAATCGTAAATTTTAAAACTACTGACTAAAAATCGCTCCTTACTATTTACTAGAATCTATGTGAGAATCGTCAGGTATGTAGTGATTGAATTAACTTATACGCTTTAGTAATTAATCAATTAAATTAAAGGTGTTTTCTATTCTTTCTCATTTGTATTGATCAATCAACGATACCTATTATTGTCATATATTTTGTTTCTTTTTTATCCACCTATACGCGTATTCGTGTTATTTCAGGCCAAATA